CAGATGCCTTCTCCCAGTGCTGGGGCTTCCACCCTTCTGGGGGTGTCACCCTACCTCCAAGACCCCAGCTGGAGGGTCCCCCAACTCTGAGCCCCCGCTGCAAAGGCAGGGAATGACTGCGGTCAGGAGTGGGGGACAGGCCCTGCTCCACCACGAGAGGGGCACCCCAACCTCTTACAGAAGAGTGGGCTACAAAGGGCCCCCTACCTGGGACTACCCACGCCGGGCAGAAAACGCAGGAGTCCTGGCTCCCAGCCCCGCTCTAACCCACCAGCCCCCACGCTCCTCCCAGAGCTGAGGAGAACCCAGGAGTCCTCGTTTCCAGACCTCCCCGCTTCTTTGCATCCCAATATTTTGCGGCGGGGGGGGGGAGGGGGAGCGGAGGCAAATCACTAGACGGGGGGGTCGGAGTGTAGGAGCTGCGGGGGAAGGGGTTCTGGACCAGGGAGCGAGTCATAACCCCTATCAGTGGGGCAGCCAGGCAGGGGGAGGCGCCTGCCCCATGCCCCCCCGAGGCGCGGACTCCCCATCCCAGAAAGCTATTGCCAGCATCAGATCCCACCCTCCTGCACTAGAGTCGGCCACAGTTCCCCTCCCCCCCCCCTTTCCTGGCTTTGTCTGAGCCCAGCCGCCCTGACTCTGTCCCCTCCCCCTCCTCGCCCCCCGCCTCCTGCTGCCTTTCCCCGCCTCGGAGCCCCCCTCCGTCAGTACCTCGGGGAGTCCAGGGAGGAGAGCAGGCCGACGGGGGACGCGGCGGGATGAGATGGGGCGGAGAGACAAAGGAGACGAGACGAGACAGGAGGGAGAGAGACCGGAATAGCCGCCCTCTCCTCCCCCCTCCCGGCTAGGGAGCCGCCCCTCCTCCATGTCCCCCTTTAGACCCTCCCAAGGTTTCCTCCTCCACTCCCTATCCCCCGCCACGCCTGGTATCCCCGCTCCACCACCACCCCGTCCCCATCAGCCCAGGTATCCCGCCCCTTCCAGATCCTCCCCATATCCCTCTCGACTCCCTGCCCCTCAAACCACCCTGATCTCCCCTTCCACTCCCTGCTCCCAAACCACCCCTGGTATCCCCATCCACTTCTTGTCTGATCCAGACCCACTCCTGGTATCCCCCCTCCACTTCTACACCCCCATCAACCCTTGGTATTCCCCCTTCACTTCCACCCCCAGACCTCCTTGAATCTCCCCCGCTTCCTGCCCCTGCATCAGCCTATGGGCTCATCTAGTCTGTGTCCTGCCTGCCCCCTAGAACACAGGCACTGTGTTGTCTCTGGTTGAGAGGGCAGGTAGCAGTGTGTGTGTGTATGTGTGCATGCACACACGCACATATGTGTGTGCCACCATATGATTGTGTGTGTTTCTATTGTGTGTGGCTGTTTGTGGTGTACAGGGGAGGATACTACACTGTGTGTCACTATTATTGTGCGATTGGGTGGGGTGTTGTCCAAGAAGTGACTCCAGCCTTTGTGTTTGTGTTGTACAAGAGAGGATAATGAGTGTGGGATTACGTGTGTGTTGTACAGAAGATGTGGACAGAATGTAATTAAGTTAGGACATGTTGTAGTGTGTTTGCATGTGTTACACAGTGGTGAGACGAGGAGATGTGTGATTCTGTTTTTCTCCAGTTGAGGGTTATTGTGCAATTGTGTATGTGTTGTATTGGGAGGGTTGTCTGTTTGTTGTGCGATAGTATTTTTCAGTGTATGTGTGTTATTGTGCAATTATGTGTGTCATAAGGGGGAAGCTGTGTGTGTGTTATGTTGTATGGGGGAGAATGTCTGTTGCTGTACAGTTAGTGTCTGTGTAGTCCAGGCTGTATGTGTGTGTGCGTGTGTGTGCGCAATTGTGTGTGCTGTCAAGGGGTGTCTGTGTTTCACTGTGAAATTGTGTGTGTTGTCCAGGTTGTGTGTTATTGTACAACTGTGTCCATTGTACAAGAAACAACTACAGGATGTGTGAGACTGGACATGTGACTGTCTTGTGCAGTTGTGTATGTTACACAGCAGAGAGCTAAGTTGGGTGTGCCTGTGTGTCTGTTATGTAATTATGTGTGTTGTACTAGAGGATGCACATGTCTGTTATTATGGAGTTGCATATGTATTGTTTGGGAATGTGTTTGTTATTGTGAAACTCTGTGTGCAGTGTGGTGTGTTTCTGTTATTGTGCAATTGTGTATGTTTTGTACAGAATGTGTGTGCATGTGCCTGTCAGTGTGCAATTGTGTGTGTCTGTGTTACTGGGCAGTTGTGTATTGTGCAGGGCAAGTTGTGCAGTTGTGTGTTGTGCAGGGGGCTGTGTTTCCATTATTGTGCTTTTATGCACCGGGAAGGAGGCATTTGTTTGTGCTCACTATTGTGCTATTATGTGTGTTGGACAGGGAGCTTGTTTATATCCATTATTGCACAGTTGTGTGAGTTGGGGGAGGAGGGAATTGTTCAATTGCATGTGTCGTGCAAGAGATGTGTGTGTCTTATTTTCAATCATGGGTGTTGCTCTCTGCCAGGGGTGTGCAGCTATGTGTGCCTCTGCATTATGTACTTGTGGCTGGCAGCCAGTTGTGAGCAGTTTTCTGTACACACACAGGCAGAAGCACGCCTCTCTCCCCAAAACCCTTTGGGCAGCAGTGCAGCCCCCAAACTCTCCCCATCTACCTGGGGTTCAAAGTCACCCCCATATGTAGCAAAGATAAGAGGAAGATTGCAATATGAGGACCTGTGAATCCTTCAGTTATTTATAGACCAGGGCTGGGTGCAGCTTGGCACAGCCTGTGCCCGTCAATCCGGGCATCCAGGCTGGGGGGGGGGGGGGGGGTAGCTCCCTGCACCCCCATCCCCAGGAAGCCCTAGCATCCTGAGGGAAGAGCAGTCCCTGGCTTTGGGAGGTGTACAGTGGCAGACAAGGGGCCTCTCTGTAACTGTCTGCCCTGCCACAGAAGTGGGTGCATCTCAGTGCTGGGCGAAGGATCCTCTGTGGCCACGGCTGGATTGGCCAATGCCCCAAATTGAACATACCTACCAGCTTTAGCAAGACCAGTTTTATGCTGGCTTCCAAGTCAATGTTAAAAAGTTAACAAGCATGGGTCAGAACTTCAGGGGACTCCCAGCAACATGCCCACACCTGTTTTCTGCTCCCAATTCAACTGCCACCCCCAACTGTTCACTGGCACTGAAATCATTTGATGGGGGCTTGGTGAATTTGGACTTGGCCTGTGTTTTTGATGCAAACTCTCTGACATACCATTGGGTCTCTGCCCCATAATTAAAGCAACAGCATGCACGAGGGCAGAGACAAAAGATGGGAAGCTGCAAGGTGGTAAGCGGTAGCCTGAGAAGGGAGCCAGGAGTCCCAAGCTCTCTCCCTAGCTCTGGGAGGGGAGTGGGAGCAGGTGGTTAGGGCAGGGGCTGGGAACAAGGACTCCTAGGTTCTCTCCCCCAGCTCTGCCTCTGTCCTGGTGTGTGATCTAAAGTCACTTTGCCATCTTGAGCCTCAGTTTCCCCTCCCAGCTTCTGTCAGGTTTAGTCTTCTAGCTGCTCAGGGCTGGGGTATTGTCTCCCTGTAATTCCCCTAACAGAGAGGTAGGGAAATCTGGAGACTCAGAGGAGAAGTTAAGTATTTATTGATTGGTTAATTAAAATAAGATAGAAAAATCATCAAAACAATGGATTTTCCAAGAAGTTACAATACCCCTTCCCCCAGGCAATCAGCAGCCCCCCAGGGGTTAATTAGCCTAACTCCAAAGCCAATAGTAGGACAAGGCTCAGCCTACTGCCTGGCCACTCCTCAGAGTCGGCCAATGAATGAAGAGCTCTTCTCCCATTGAGTTGATCACTGGGGGAGACACCTCCCTTAGCTAATAATAGCAGCTCACAGAGAAGCCTTCTGATTGACCCCCAGCTCAGCCAATGAGAAAGAGTCATGGAAAAGAAAAGCTATTCATTAGCTAGCAATTGGCTAGCAATGGAAGGGGAAATCCATTAAAATCCAGCCTAGCCATTGGATCTGTGTCTGACCAATGGGAAAAAAGTGCAGATAACCCCATCCCCATCATCTTTATCCCATAAGTCTATTTTGCCTTCCCATTGGCCTGTAGCTCAGACAATGGACAGAGTCCTGCTTTGCCACTGGCCCAGACCCAGACTGGCTTTTTGCCCACCAACTAGTGAAGTGCACAGGTAGCACCCAACTCTTCTATTGGTCAGTGATGGGCACTGTCAATGCCCCCCCATTCCTCCATCATCCAGACAACGGGTGATGAGTGCTGGGGAAGCCAGGACCACATGGGGCATTGTAGGAGCCAGGGCTTAAGTGATGATACAGACTGGCTTTTTGCCCACCAACTAGTGAAGTGCACAGGTAGCACCCAACTCTTCTATTGGTCAGTGATGGGGAAGCCAGGACCACATGGGCCATTGCAGGAGCCAGGGCTTAAGTGATGATCATTCTGGGTGGACAGAGTCAACAAGCCAAGGAAAACCCTAATGCTGGAGGAGAGGGGAAGAGGTGGGACCTCTTCCCTAAAGGGGGACCCTCAGCCCTGGTGAGGGGAGTGAGAAAGTAAACTGTGTGGGTCCCTGGGGGTAGGAGGGCTTAGAGCACCATTGCCAACCAGCCGAGGATGAGGAGGGAGCCCCCATAGGGGGCCGCTTTGTTGAAGGCCGGGTCTCCGCTCCATGCATGGTAATACAACGGTCCACAGAACAGTCCCATCCCAGAAGTGAGGAAGGCCCCAGCCTAGGGGGACAACAGAAAAGGAGGGGGGGGCAACATCAGAACAGCAGGTGCCATGGTGGAGTGTCTGAGTCCAACTCTAGTTCAAGGCACATAATGCCCTCCTCCAACCTCCTCAGTAGATCTCTAAGCAGAAGCTAAAGGTTCTACCACAGCTGCCAAATGGAGAGCTGCTCCATCAGTGTGAGAAGGAGCAAGGTCTTGGGGTTCCTAGCTTGCTATGGAACCCAACTGGGTGGGTAAATCTTCATAGGCTTCTGTCAGGTTTAGTCTTCTAGCTGCTCAGGGCTGGGGTATTGTCTCCCTGTAATTCCCCTAACAGAGAGGTAGGGAAATCTGGAGACTCAGAGGAGAAGTTAAGTATTTATTGATTGGTTAATTAAAATAAGATAGAAAAATCATCAAAACAATGGATTTTCCAAGAAGTTACAATACCCCTTCCCCCAGGCAATCAGCAGCCCCCCAGGGGTTAATTAGCCTAACTCCAAAGCCAATAGTAGGACAAGGCTCAGCCTACTGCCTGGCCACTCCTCAGAGTCGGCCAATGAATGAAGAGCTCTTCTCCCATTGAGTTGATCACTGGGGGAGACACCTCCCTTAGCTAATAATAGCAGCTCACAGAGAAGCCTTCTGATTGACCCCCAGCTCAGCCAATGAGAAAGAGTCATGGAAAAGAAAAGCTATTCATTAGCTAGCAATTGGCTAGCAATGGAAGGGGAAATCCATTAAAATCCAGCCTAGCCATTGGATCTGTGTCTGACCAATGGGAAAAAAGTGCAGATAACCCCATCCCCATCATCTTTATCCCATAAGTCTATTTTGCCTTCCCATTGGCCTGTAGCTCAGACAATGGACAGAGTCCTGCTTTGCCACTGGCCCAGACCCAGACTGGCTTTTTGCCCACCAACTAGTGAAGTGCACAGGTAGCACCCAACTCTTCTATTGGTCAGTGATGGGCACTGTCAATGCCCCCCCATTCCTCCATCATCCAGACAACGGGTGATGAGTGCTGGGGAAGCCAGGACCACATGGGGCATTGTAGGAGCCAGGGCTTAAGTGATGATAATTCTGGGTGGACAGAGTCAACAAGCCAAGGAAAACCCTAATGCTGGAGGAGAGGGGAAGAGGTGGGACCTCTTCCCTAAAGGGGGACCCTCAGCCCTGGTGAGGGGAGTGAGAAAGTAAACTGTGTGGGTCCCTGGGGGTAGGAGGGCTTAGAGCGCCATTGCCAACCAGCCGAGGATGAGGAGGGAGCCCCCATAGGGGGCCGCTTTGTTGAAGGCCGGGTCTCCGCTCCATGCATGGTAATACAACGGTCCACAGAACAGTCCCATCCCAGAAGTGAGGAAGGCCCCAGCCTAGGGGGACAACAGAAAAGGAGGGGGGGGCAACATCAGAACAGCAGGTGCCATGGTGGAGTGTCTGAGTCCAACTCTAGTTCAAGGCACATAATGCCCTCCTCCAACCTCCTCAGTAGATCTCTAAGCAGAAGCTAAAGGTTCTACCACAGCTGCCAAATGGAGAGCTGCTCCATCAGTGTGAGAAGGAGCAAGGTCTTGGGGTTCCTAGCTTGCTATGGAACCCAACTGGGTGGGTAAATCTTCATAGGTAAAAAGGAGGGAATAGAATAGGGGGGGGGGAACAGATTGAGGAGAGCTGGGTGGGGGCCAAAGGAGGGCCTGTGGAATAGGGATGTGGGGCTGGTAGGAGGGAGACCCTGGGGGAGGGCTCTATCTCCACAGCTGGGGCGCCAGCATAGCTGCTGGTGTGCAAGGAATCGGAAGGGGAGGAGTGTAAGGGGAGCATGGGTTGCAGACCCACAGCTTTGAGTATGACCTCAGCCCTGTCAATCCAGGAGGCTGCAGGGAGGGCAAACAAGGATGCTGAGGTACCCCGGGAATCGAGATCACTGGGGTGCCACCCTCAACCCTAGATGTCCCCCAGGCTACGCACCAGCAAGGGGCGGCGGCAGAGGGGCACAGCCAGCAGCGCTAGGCTGTG